TAGTTTCAATACCGGGGAGAGCCCCAAATTTGACTTCCACTTTCCAACCAATAAGGGGAGAGGGTGGTAGGAGTGGGCGTGGTCGCTTTTCTTGTCAATCACGCCCCCATTACATTACACTGCAGGGGAGGGAGATGGTGTTTTTGTCCTTTAGCTGCCTAACAGGCCTACTGAATCTCCATCCACTGGTTAATATGGGATGTCTGTTGATATAACTGCAACATTCAAATGTGCTTTCAGAGACGGCACAATATGACCATGCTGTATATTCTCAAAGGGCCAAAACCATTGTAAAAAGAGTCTACCAATAACGGTTAGCAGAAGGGAAAACAATAATGGGCACATTTTGGGATACATGGAGGGGTCAAAGAGGAGTATAGCATTGAAATATTGCAGTCTCTGTGTTTTGTATGACTGATTTATGTTTAGAAGATCAGATTTACTGTCTGTTAGCTTCCTCAAACATGATAAATGATGTAAGGTTAGTTCATCAATGTGGGTGTTTCAATAAAAATACAAAGTGTAACAGCATTGTGGTTTTTTGTGTTTATTAATATAATCATGTCTCCATTGAAGAAGGACCATGCATAAAAGTACATTCATCTAAAAAAGAGAAGAGATGATTTATGCCAGATTTGAGCCAATAGCTCATTTCCACATAATCAACAAACCCTAAAAACATTGCATAGTCTCACATATCACATCAACAATTATAATCAGATCACAACACACAACCCTCTTTCAATCAAGTAAATAAAGGACATTTCCGAGTATAAATATCATTTTGATTTCATTTTTCTTTTTATTAACTCAAAACAATTCCGGTTGTTGTGACAACATGTCTCATATATATCCATTTTGTATTTATGGACACACAATATGGCTGCCTTCACTCTCTATGGATTGATGCAAGAATCTGCCTGTAGTCTGATAAAGGCAAAGTGTTAATTATTTAGTTTCTTACAAGGAAAACATTGAAACAAATGTCTCTGTTTAGTCAAGGGAAAGAATATTCTTGTTTTTGTTTTTTGCAGCGCTCATCCTTTAAACTCTCAGTGGAGCAATGTGCCCTGCCAAAGCCTCTCAACATCCAAGACAAACAGGGAGAAGAGAAGAGGTGTTTGTTTTGTGGATATGAGGTTGCTGGAGGAGCAAATGCCCTAAAGCAGATTAACTGGATGCTTGGGTCTGACTTTTAGGAGCAATAACTTTATCTGATTATATAAATGACACGGAGAGGTTATTAGAAAACTAGTCACACAATACTTCATAATCGGAGCTGTGCATGCATGCTTTAATGCACACACATGCGTGATCTCTTTCTGTAATTACATAATGTGTATATGCAGGGATTGTCCCTGCTGCATGCATAACCTTGACCCCTCACCTAAACCATTGAACTGTCGAATGAAACTGATTTATTTCAAATCTATATTTAACACTTGCAGTTCTTCAAGATTTGAAGACTGTCACTAAAATTGTGCACATTATCGCACATAAAATAAACATTCACTCCAAAATAATGACTATCATCCAATATTGTTTTAACTCCATCATAACCTTTAAATTACAACAGGATTGTTTGGTCATTATTTTGGAGTGTTTTGGAGATGGAGATAAATTATGGGTCAAAATTGACCCGAGAACACCATGAACGGTAACAGCTTTCGAACACAACACAAGGGTTAAAGATGAATATGACATGTTGTTCACACTGACTTTGATTGCTTACCATGTCACTGGACTCTAATCTTCAAAATGAATGTTTATTTTATGTGTGATAACGTACACAATTTTAGTATGGATAATATGTCACTTTATTTCATTCAACATGTATTATTAATTACTGTGTGTATGTAAATGTATTGGACAATTGCAGGACTAGCCCTCACTCCATATTTGTTTTATTTCTGACTCGGATGATAAACCAGGCCTGTCATAAAATGCACCCCCCCCCACAAAATATGTTTCTATTAATCCCACCCTTATGCATTTTTCAGGGTATAGTTGTAGGACTAGTACCAATGAATGGAGCAAGTTTCATGAATGTGACCCTTTTATTTTTTAAGATATTAAGGTGGGGCATATTGTGATAACCAGGCCTGTCATAAAATGCACCCCCCCCCAAAAAAAAGATGTTTATATTAATCCCACCCTCAAGCATTTTTCAGGGTATAGTTGTAGGACTAGTACCAATGAATGGAGCAAGTTTCATGAATGTGACACTTTTATTATGTAAAATAGCAAGGGGTGCATAACGTGGCAAAAATATGCTGACAAAGACTATGTAACATTTGTAAACATATATTTTGATTATTATATGACAAATATGTAAAATTAAACAATACATTTTAAAGCACGTGTATACAGACAGGACGTAACAATAATAAGAAAAGAAAAAAAGATTAAAAAAAACAAAAACTGAAAAGGAAGTGACGAATGAATTTCGACACCACTACCATCAAATACGGAGCGAAAAGTTTAACCACAAGAATCAAGACTATATGAGCTACCACTAAACAACTCACAGTCTGAAAATTACCATTAATAAAAACCCTGAACGTTTACTTTTCGTTTTAAACATCGTTTTAAGGTGTAAACGTGTCATTTAGAAATGCGCGTTCCCGTGACAAGGGGGGCATTTCATGATGGGGGTGCATAATTTGACACAACACCGGCATGAGTGTGCTCTGTGGAAGATTCCCATGTCGGCTAACTTTACCGAACAACGCTGATACATTTTGCAGTTGGAAACTGCCTTCAGTAGAAGCTGCTGGATTCCATCCTCCGAGTAAATCGCCAGACGTGCCGACACATCCTCATCACTCCACCACTCCGATGATTTTCGTATTCTTATTGTTGCCATAATAACTGCTTTCACAAAAGTACTCTCGTTGTCATGTCTAATAATGCCAGCAAATACAATGGCCGCTCCAAAAAAAAATTCAGAGTTAAACGGGGCGTGGTTTGCATTCCGCACAGCCAATCAGACGTGTGAACTTTTTTCTCCCACGAAAGTCCCTTCTCTCTAGCAGGGACTGAAAACGGGGTAAAAATGGTTCTGATGAACTAATTTAGTTCCTGGGGCTTTTTGGTGTGAACGCAAATATATCGTAGTTATGATGAACTATTGTGGGAAAAGTACTCCGGTGTGAACGCGCTAAATTAAATATTTTAGGCTTTCCTCTTCGGCTCCTTTCTTTTTACTTTTACTGTTTACTTTGCACTCTCAGAATATAATCCCCTTTCTCTCTGCTTGACTCACTACGAAGGGAAAATCAACCCTCCTGGTAGAAATTGTTTTGAAAGATTTTACTGTAACAATTAATTTCATTACAAATTCACAATGTCAGGAAAACTAAAACATTTCTGGGAAGGGGCTCAAGGAGTGGTATAAGTACATTTACTCAAGTATTGTACAATTTTGATGTACTTGTACTTTAACTGAGTATTCTCATTATTTCACAAAAATAAAGTCCACCTTTTATCAGCTGTGATAAACATTATTGAATCAATAATCATAATCTAGTGATTTAATATATCAGATTCTGAAATGGGTCTCTTTATCAAGTACTTGAGCATAAAATGTGAGTACTTTTTCCACTTTTGAGTTTAAGATTGTGATCACATTTGGATCCACCGTGTCTGGTTTATTTGAATCTACTCTAACTTTATCTATTTATCTGACGGATAACATCAGTTTACATTATACCACAATGGCTTAAATTATAAATCACCTTTAACTGAACACCCAACATAGGAAATCACAAATGTACCCTCATCTGCCCCCATGTTGTTAACTCAAAGGCATGCAGTGACTTCTAGTGGCAGCAGGCTGCCAGTGAAAACCCTGCTATAAGACTATGAGATGCATTTTTCTCTTATTATTAAAGTGTTTGGTAACAGCTACAGCATATTCCTGCACAATTGAGGATACATATTATGCAATAATACAATTATTCGTAGAATCAACTTACAGTCATTGCTGCACAGGATTTGTTCTGATTCATGTGATCCAGACAAAGCAAATATTACACAAGTTGTAGAGTCCACAAGTCCATATTTCTTTTAAATGAATACATTTAATAATGAAAATAAATCACATCATGTTTTTTTATCTGACAATTGTTCCACTTTAATCTATTTATGTTGCAGTTTATCCTTTCAAAACCTTTTTTCTACTGCATTTTAAAACATTTCTCTACTACTAGCTGTACACAAAGGGAGGCACGCACATATATTAAAGGGGTGTAGTAGAAACAAGCTTACGGAACTTTCAATTATTTCAATATCACCAAAGTAACAAAAGAAAAAGGAATGTTTCAAATGTAAAGATAACAAAAAAAAAGAAAAAACATACAGAACTTTGACATTCTGTGGTTCCTATGACAACACATTTGGAAATCTTAAAGTGCTTTGTGACATCACGAACATTCTAAAGTCAGGTGTAGGTTGAGCTGTGTGGGATCATTTGGTCATTTACTTTTGGCGAGCGGACGAGAAGCAACCTCTGAAAATCCCCAATAGTTTTTACCCAAACAGCACAAAAACACACAGTACTGAACGTGAAGCATTCTGTAACAAATACAGGTAGTTATTGCTTAGTTTTTAGGTTAACCTGTACATTTATTTAAAGAAAAACTGTGAAATATACCAAATTAGTTTCTAAGAGTAGATTTATACAGTTTTATTTATTTGTACTGCTTTTCTATTAGTAAATCGTTGTGGGGTGAGGTGGCTAACAGCAGGTTGCCACTTGTAAATGTCCTCTATAATTTCTAACTTATTCACTTGTAAATCTTAAATCTAAATGATCTTTGGTGGCAGGGCTATATCAAAACAAGCTGGAAATGTTCTGTCTGAAAAAACAATAAGACCTTTTGATAACTCATTATTGTGGGGATTTTAAAAACAGTTATAAACATTAATCAAGGCAGAAAATCATTCAATTGTGGCTTTTGGAATAACATACTAATACTTTGTTAACTTTGCTTTCAGTTATGCCGTCAGTTTTGAAATCTCAACCCCTGGTCAACACAATCTCAGACAATTACGAGATTTTAATAGTTCTGGGAGTGGGTTCCTTTGGACAGGTGCTGAAATGTTTGAAACTGGACACTGCAGAGACTGTGGCTGTCAAGGTTTTGAGAAACAGTAACGCAGATGCACTCAACATGAGAGAGGTGAGCTAACTTTGGATGATCACAAGTCAAAGATCCATTATTGGACTGTGCCTGAGTCTTAATAAATATTTGCTCGTACACAACCTCACTGTTTTATGTATCCTCAGATGCTCATGCTGAAAAAGCTCAGATGTATGGACTCTGATAAGTCCACCATCGTCAAATGCCATGAATGCTTTCAACGGATGGACCGGACGTTCATGGTTTTTGAAATGCTGGATATGAGCCTCCATGAGTACATGGACAAGAGAGAATGGCTGCCTGCACCTCTCAATGGCATAAGAACGGTGATCAAAGACGTAAGGATGCCAGAGAGAAAATAATTAACAACTATTAGTTTTCCACCCGTTAGATAAGATATACTTTTATTGATCTCAGTTTGGGAAATCATTCTCATCATAAACATTATGTAAATTACTTCACTTGCAGTTGGCCACAGCATTTGATACCCTAAAGGGTATGGGACTGATCCATACAGACTTGAAGTTGGACAATGTCATGCTGGTGGATCACCAGGTACAGCCGTTCAGGGTGAAGCTCATCGACTTTGGCCTAGTTGTAAAGACCTCCGAAGTCTGCAAAGGACTTGTAGTGCAGCCTGTCTGGCATAGGTAAGACCTCTAGACCCTTTATCATGGATATGCAATCGATGTAAGAAGTTCACTGCCATCTGACTGTCTCTTATTGAATATTTGGAGAAGAGCAGTATGCAGTATGCCTAAAGAAAATGTATGAGTTGTATTTTTATTTCTTTAAAAATGACCTTGTATATTGTGCTGTTCTTCCACACTCAGAGCCCCTGAAGTTATTCTTGGCCAGCCATTCAATGCGGCCATCGATGTTTGGTCTCTTGGAAGCATATTGGCCGAAATACTCCTCGGTTTTCCGCTTTTCCCAGGAAATAATGCGTATGATGTGGTGAGTAACATTGATGGTTCATTTCTACATTTGTCCTAATGTTTGTAATATTGTTTTGATATGTACTAATACTTTACGGTCAGGCATGTTTAATACATGGCTATTAGAACATTTATAGAGTAGTCAAAATGGCATTTTGCTGTGTTTTGTCTCTAGCTCCGTTTCATCATCGATCTCCTGGGAGAACCACCAAGGCAACTCTTGAATAGTGGATTATTCACAGAGTCATTCTTTAAGGGAAAAAGCAGATTCTGTGGGCGGACGGTTTGGAAATTCAAGGTATAGCACCGCAACCTTCTTTGCCAAACATTCATTATCCTCCATTAGATCATGAGCATAAAAAGCAATACAATATTTTGTCTTCTTCCAGACACCCTTGGAGTTTCAGCTGGAAACAAAGCTGAAGACGAGTGATGACAGGGAATACACGTTTTCCTCTCTGGAGGAGCTGAAAACAGTAAGTTCTCAAGAAGGTGCTGCCTGTAGAGGCAGTAACAACATAGTCAAATATCAGGAAATCTTTTTGGCTAGTGTCAATTCATTTGTCAATATTTTTTTTATTTAGTCAAGCACACACAACAAAACCAGCTTCCAGGCAGAAGACAGGAAGGCTTGTGTGGAACTTTTGCAGGACATGCTCCAGATGGACCAAAAGAAAAGGATTACTCCAAAACAAATCCTGGCCCATCCATTCATAACCAGGAGCTACCTCAATCTGAGCAAAAACTGTCTGTATGGGTAAGTATGTCTGTTTGACAACAGTAGGCATTTTAGATGACTTTAAATGGCTATTGTAATGTGTACCGTACGCAATTTGAACATGATTGTAAACGTGATTATCCTTTTGTAGCACTGAAACTGTAGAAGCTGACAGTTCCAGCGAGAGGCCAGAGACTGAACAGACAAAAGTTGATGGGTAAGTAATGATTAGTTTCTTTTGGTTTTGTGGTAGAATGGAAATAATAGTTTTCTATCAGTTTGAAACATTTCACCTGGAAAAGCGCTCTAATAAAAATGTAATGAATTATCATTATTATTATTATTTGCTCTGAACTCAGCACGCTTCCGAATGTTTCTAAATGCATCTGAACAACATATTTTATGGGAACACCACTTGTTAAACGCGTGCATCTTTGCTTACCTTTAGATCCTCTGAACACTCCTGTAGTCTCAAAGAGCTGCCAGCTGGGGTCATCGAGGTTCAGACCGATGAGAGGACCATACTGGTTGAAGAAGCCACCAAAGAGAGCAGTGTCATCAGGTAAGGCCACTAATCCCTCAGCTGAGAGTAGAAGAAAAACACAATAAAGTTAGGAGAGATAAAATGATCATAATGTTCAAAGTTAATGCAATCGAAGCAGGTGACATAAGATGCACCTTTGCCCTTAATATGACAATGTCAGTTTCAATATAATCTAGACCTTTTGATCTTGTATGAACCAACAATGACCCTGTAAGTGTTTTTGTGTTTGTGTAGGACCCAGACTGTGCAGGGAGATACCCCCAGCTCAGTGAAGGCTGAAATTGCACATGAAATTAAACTGGATTCAATCACTGATGAAGATTGGGAAATAAGCATCGTATCGGTTATTGGAAAAGGCCATTCCGAAGCTCCCAAGTCCAGCAGCGAAGAGACTTTGCCCGCACCTGGTAGGAAATATTTACCTCACCATTTTCTGAATTGTCACATTTTTCCAAACCCCATTTCTTCAAAGTTGATTAAAACACTAACTATAATTTTAATTTTCAGTGGTCAGCGAGCCAAGGAAGAAAAAGAAGAAGGGAATCAGAGGATTCTTCTCCAGGATGAGGAGGAATTTCTTCTCCTGCTTCTGTGTGCGAGGAGTGAAGTAGTCTGTGAAGGTTTTCCAATGAAACTCACTGTCAGTTCAACATCAGCAGCTTCATTTCCCTTAACTCTGACATGGGTGTTTAAAACTCCTTCAAGCTCTATGGAGATTCAGTGCAAAACTTCACAGTTACTTCTATGGGCAGCACAGCACTTCCTGTGAGGAGCAGGAGCCGTGTCTGCATGGGTTTTCTCCGGGACCTCCGGTTTTCTCCCATTTTTTACAATAAATTGTTCACAAATTACAAATATGTCTATTGGTTGTACATGTTCAGTCTTAAGATAGGACTGAAATACATTTCGGTTGCTAAATTGTTTTGTGTCTATGAAGACTTTCTACTGTGATTTACTAAGAGCTGGTCTTTCTGACGGATAAACTCTCAAGCCAAATGTAGGGGGATGCCACGCTGTCATTTCAGTTTTAGATTTTTTTCAGCAGTTCATATTCCAATTTGTGGTGCATTTATGGTCAAATGACCGTTACAAATAGTGACAATTATTTTGGAAATAGATTTTTATGTCTGTCCCCATTCTATTATTCCAACAATTTTGTTTTCTGGTGCTTTAAAAAGTACTGATATTCACAGGGCTGCTACTATGGCTGCAGATTTAAAGTCTTGTTTTAGCAAAATGTTAAGAATATGGTATCATGTTTTAAATCATATGTTTATGTTTTATGTTTTATGACTTGTCCTTGTATGTTTCGTTGTAAAGCGACCTTGAGGTTATGAAAGGCGCTATATAAATTCAAGTTATTATTATTATTATTATGATTATCATTATCCTGAAATTTGATAAAAACTTAATTTACTTCAAATAATTTCAATAACAGTCTATAGGATATTCATATTTATTCTGTCTGTATTATACTGTCAATATATTAACCATCTAGTGTATTCATTTTTTATACGACTGTTTATGATGTGTATACCCCTTTATTCTGTTCATAGTGTAAATACTTTTTATATATTTATATTATACTAGACATCACATTTTCTTTATCTTATCACTTGTACTCTGTGCAATGACAATAAAGTTGAATCTTATCTATTCTAATTTAGTTTGAGGCCTCATATTTCTCGTGATTACCCAATAACAGAGTCATCAACCAGTAGCTTATGTTCTCAATTGTCTCCCTGGAAGCTCAGAGGCAGTTGAAAGTAGCTGTCAATTATGCAAAGAGAGAAGATTATATATAATGTATATTATATATAGTCACACATAACAAATTACTTCTTGGTCGAGGTCTGAAAAATTATGTAATTGTTTGTGTCATCAGTGGTGTAAAGTAACTGAGTACATTTACTCAAGTACAATACTTAAGTTTGAGATACTTGTTCGTATTTCAATTTTTGTTTCTAGCCGACTACAATTCAGAGTTAAATACTCAATTTATTTAATGTGGAATTAAAACTAGCTACACCTTTCCTAGCTTTGATAAACACATTAATGCATCAATAATTATAATCACAAAATATAATGTATATTATTCTGAAATCTGCATAATGAGTACTTTTACTTTTGGTACTTTAAGTATATTTAGATGCTAATACTTTTCTTCTTTTACTTGAGTAACATTTTGAATGCAGAACTTTTACTTGTAAAAGAGTGTTCCTAACTAGTACCTAACTTTCAAATACAGTCTCTTTTGAATTGCCCTTCAACAAGGTTTGCAAACCAGCAAATTCACTTTGATCAATCTCTATAGGCCTATAAATTCTTAAAGGCAGATGTTTGTTGTACACTTTTTGTGTCAGTGCTTCTCACCATGTGCTGCTGCTGGCTGCAAGTCTGTCAGGAAAAGCAAATCCACGTTCATCAGTCAGTGGTTCCTGGTTGTATAACCTCTAGTGATGTGTCGGTCGCGAACGAGCCGGCTCGAAGAGCCGGCTCTTTTAAGTGAACGACGGGAGCCGGCTCGCGCCCGCGAACGAGCCGTTTTTTTTTTGTTATTTTGTTGTTAAGTAATACAAGACAGAATGATATGATGATCTCCGCGCTACAGCTGCTCCGTGCATGCATGCAGTGACATGTAATATCCAAGGATTAGAGACTGTTGGATGCTGCTGTACTGAGCATTGCAATATATTTATTTTCACTATGTCATTTATTTATGATTATCCTTGGGCTCAGCAAAGATTTGATGTCAGCTGTTGCTGTCTTTTTTTCTATAGTTAATACTGAAATAGAGCCCTGCTGTTTAGTCAGGGCCTTTTCTTTAAATATAATTTTAAAATGTCGATACAGTAGCCCCTTTATTTAAATGTCTATGCTTAAGTTTTTATCTCAATCTCAATCTTTATTTATTTATATAGCACATTTAAAACAACCTTCAGTTGACCAAAGTGCTGTACAGGCAATACATATTAAATAACACAATGGGAGTACAATAATAAAACAATAATTAAAAACATGATAAAAAGCACAATAACTAGAAAAATATTTAAAAAAAACACATACAAATGTAAAAATGTAATGTTCAACTAGTATTAAAAGCCAGTGCAAAGAGGTGAGTTTTTAGCTGAGATTTAAAAAGTTCAATAGACTCAGCAGTCCGGATATGTACTGGGAGGCTGTTCCACAGTCTAGGAGCTGCAACACTGAAAGCCCTGTCACCTCGGGTTTTTTATAGGTGTTGCTATCTGCTTTGTGTAGCGTGGTTCAAGCAAGTCAGTGCATTCATTGGGTGGTATCAGAGAGATACAAGGGTCTGTAAATGCAATGAAAACTGGCCACAGCAAATAATTGATATTAAACATGTAATTTTTACTTTTGAATACTTCAGTACAAAGGATGTATTGAATAATGTAAGTGATATGTGTACACATATAAATCATGAGTCAAAACAGGGCTACATTTGATTGAATTATAAAAGGTATAATATGTAGTAAACTGAAGAGCCGTTTGGGAGCCGAAAGAGCCGGCTCTTCTTGGTGAGCCGAGCCAAATGATCCGGCTCACCAAGAAGAGCCGGAATTCCCATCACTAATAACCTCAGTTGTTCTCTCCGGTCCTGGTTTGCCCTTAAACTCCTGCTTTCTCATTATTTTTTAGATAAAATCAGCTGGATCAACTGCTATTGTCTGAAATGACACAATTTTAAAATATGTTAAATGTGCTTTTTCAAATGTCTCACAAAGTTTGACACGACATTCGACTGGGCACACACACCTGTTCTACTCAATGCGATGTTATAATGCTAAGCTCCCTGTTTGTATGGTTTTTTATTATAAGTTTGGGTAGCCTAGTAGCTAAGCTTGTCCAATGTTACCCTACTGCGTTGCCCTGCTGCTTACACCTGTAGCAAAACAAGGCTAAACCACTCCAGGTTAAATATGGTTTTGAGCGGAGGTTTTGTTAATAACAAGACCACATGGCTGGTGGGCACCAAGATATTCTAGTTTTTCTCAAAAAGCGTACTTTCAAATGGTTGCTAAACCTCGTTCATCGTGACCGCAGCTACTGAACTTCTGCCATCTATGAGCAACTAATGTCAGCGGCAGCGTCATTCAAAAAGATCCAATGAAATTATAGAGGGCAAACAGGCAATCAGTCACAGTTGGTTGCTAAGTGCCATAATATGTAATAATATATACTATATACATAATTAATAATAAGCAATGTCAACAAAATAATGTGGGATTTTGTGATGCTAACAGATAATGTTATTTTGTGATGCTAGCTTCAGATGCTAAAACGCTAACATAACATCAAACGCACCACACGAGTGGGACTACATCGGAGTGTATGCATAACCAACACACGCATACAAAATAAGTACATGGAAGGCAGAACCTGAAATATAATAAGCGCAGTTTTGTTTCGCTTTTATTCTGATAGTTTCACACAGGAAGTGTCAACGGAAGACCAACTGCCTGAAACCACAACATAAACGATAGTCAAAAGAGAGGCTTTCCACATCGCACAGTGAGTTAGCATTTACTCATCATTAAAGTTAGACAGGTTTATTGTAGCATGTTATAAACCAACCTTGCCGTGATGCAGACGGCTTGTTTCAGCTTGTTTGTGAAATAAAACAACTTGTCGGCGCACCTCGTCATCTACTGGAGCAGCTAACGGTAACGGCTGTTTATGTAGCTAGTAACGCAGGCTAGCCATTAATAGCCGTTATCTCTGTGCGTAGCAACGTTGATTGACAGCTGCTGTTATATTTTACTCAGCTACCTGCCGTTATTACACATAAGCAAATAGCATGAACCAGCTGAGCAAAACGTGGCTTTTCCGGCACTTGCTAACAAGACATATAATGTTTATAATGTATTGAGTTGGCCCATATAAATCCTCATAGCCTTTTTGCAAATGTAAGGGGACGATATCCAACCAATTAACCTTTTTGCCCTTTTGTGACCTTACTACTTCCTGGATGTACTTATAACAATGCGCGAATTCTTTTCATTCCGTTTTCCAGCAGATTTTTTCGCTGATTAGGAAGGGCAGTGATACCATGTGGAAGTCACATGAACGACAAGGATGAGGTATAAACAACAAGAGGGCAGCTTGAGGAGAGATCCGCTGCACACTGTGTCATAGGGAGGGGGTTTGCTGCTTGTAAACACCCTGCACAAGCAGCCCCCTGTGTCCCCCTCTCCTGAACATATGCAATGAACAGCACTACTGAGCCCCCTGCTATCATAGATGGGGATGTGGCAGTCAGCTATGTGTTGGTGCCATTCTTCCTCATCACTATTATTGGAATAGCTGCAGCTGTGGTAAGTTGGGTTGGTCTGCATAAGACGATATACACAAAGTTGAACTGCTAAAAACATATAGTGTGTTCAAGCTGCAAAGTTCAGTAGATCTATAAACATTCGTTAAAATAAGAAGCCACTTTATTAATCCCACAAGGGGGAATTAAGTGTTGTACTCTGTTAAAAAGGCATTGCGATAGCTCAGAATTGAGACTAATTACATATACACAGTACATGTGATACTCTTCCATTTGTCTGTTTCAGGTCATGTATATTCGTAAGAAAAGACGGTAGGTTTTTAATCTACCCTGATTGATTGAATGGCACAATGCTACTGTGATAACATTGATCGCTTCACTTCTGTGTTTCGGTGTTAGTCATTATATCAGAGTTTGATTTCTTTCTGTTTTGTTTGTGCTGCAGAATTGACAGACTTCGTCATCAGCTGTTACCAGTTTACACATATGATCCATCAGAGGAGCTTAATGAAGCTGAGCAAGAAATGTTGTGGAGAGAAGAGGACACAAGGGTATGATGCACCATTGCTTTGCAAACTTTTATTTTCTCTGGGACATTTTTAACTACAAGTGGTACTAGTCATTCTGAAGTCAGATGAAAACCTATGTAGATTTTTATAAGCTAAATGAATATGTAAACAATGATTTCACCGCAAATCCTGCATTATAAGAAATGTATACATTTTCTCCATGTAGAGGTTTAATATAGCTCTAATACAACTGAATTTTCTTTCACAAAAACATGCCTGCTGTTGACTTCTCAGTGTATCTTTTTAACTGTGTGGTTGCGCCATTTACTCTAAACCACAGCAGTTCCTCAATTAGTTAGTGACTTCCTTCCCCTCATAGAACAACGATGCAAGCATGAAAGTACAGTCATAGTAGTGGTGGTTTTAAAAAGTAGAACAGTTGCACTACTTGTTTTATTTACAAACCTCCAATGCTTCACAAAAGCAAGGAAAATAAAAATAAACAGGGAGTTCCTCAAACCAGATCTATTGTAGTGTACATGTGGCTCTCATGTTATTCAAAGTGAAAACCAAAACATGACTTTCTATGAAGTTAATTTGACACTCCTGGTGGTAACATACTGTAGTTTAGAAATTGATGAAATAGAAATAGATGGAAACAAATTACAGAAATTAAAGTATTGGCCTGGTTGAATCCAGTGAACAGTTTAGCACTGAGCCATGACAAACACTAGGTGGCAGTATTGACCATGGGAAAAGTCATGTCTTACTCCACTCAACCTATAAATTGGGAAAAACCAAATCATAATATCAAGTTCTGTAGTTGTCAAATAGACTAATATTAAGTGATTCAAGGTGAAGTTCACTTAAATATCCAAACAACATTTGTTACTCACTCCCAAAGGATTTTTTTTAGTGTTTTATGTCCATCCCGGAAAATGCTGATGGTAATCCAATACACGTTGAATTTGTGTTGTTCAGAACTCAATATGTTTCTCCAGAAACAATATCCCTGTTACTAATGCTCATATTTTTGACATTGTGTCTTTAGAGTCAGGGTTCTTTTGGTCATTAAAAACCTGGAAAAGTCATGGAAATTCAAAATGCTAATTCCAGGCCCTGGAAAAGTTATGGAAAACAATATTTTTCCCGAAGTTTTGGAAAAGTCATGGAAATGTAACTAAAGTTGCATAAAATATAATTTATATTTTATCTAATCGCCGAAATACTATAACGATAATAAATACTGTATCGTATGAAACGTAAAATGGCATTTAACTGACGAGGTATTTTGCTGGTGAGAGATTTTAGTTGCTTTAGCGTGTAGAAGCTAGTAAGCCAACTATTTGATTTGTTTTAGACAGGCACAACATGTTTCAGACCTTATTTTCCTGTTTCATGTTAAAATAAACCATTTTCAGTGGTACCGCTGAGAAAGAGTAATTTTTTTTTTGGTCATGGAAAATTAGGTAAAGGTCATGGAGAAGTCATGGAAAAGTCATTGGTGAAAAAGTGTATGAACCCTGTAGAGTGACCGCTGTAACCAGGACCTGTTGTTGAAATTATGTTACTTTTCAATTTCAAATGTTTATTTATGTACAAATGAAACATCATTCCCCTCCCTTGTTTGCTTTTCATTATAGCTTGATAACAGCATGGGTTTAAATGAGACCTTGCTGTTTTCTGTGTTCTTTCTGTGCTTTGAATGAGCTGACCCTCACAACAATTTAACATATCCTCATCAGAAACATTATTTCCCTTAACTTATGCCTTTAAAAACTACAGTGTGTAACTGAACTGTTTTTGCACTTTGCATTTTATGTCCTCAGATTGTACAAGGCTGGGCCAAGAGTTATCAACAGCGACGCCCTCTTCTGACCAAAGACGTCAATGCATGATGATAGTGAGCCATGGCATAGGACATCAGTGTGGAGACAACCTTCAGCCACATCAGTCATCAGTTTGAAGTCACGCACAAGACTTCCTTTTGGTTTTACTTGTCTTTGCTACCATTTGCCGTTATCTCCCTGTTAAAGTCCATATAGATTGACTGTTCTGATGCCAATCCTTTGTGCCTAATAGATGCAGTACCGTACATTTATTTATTTGAAATTATTTATTCAAAACCTTTTTTTACTGTGACATTATTCATGGTTGAGAAAGGTGGAACCTCTCACAAGATTAAGAAAAAAGGTTTCTGTAGGTTTACTGTTGTTTACATTAATTATGTTGTTTTGTGCAACAAGTGGTTTTGTTCCTGTGGTTTGCAGTAGGCATTTGATTAGGGGCAGTGTTCACAGTGTGGTAGGAGTATGCATCAGATAAAGAATTTCTTAATATGAGAGGGTTTAAGATCACTGTCTGGTTAGGTTATTGTGAAGAGGTTGTTTGCAGTGCATTAAAAACAAACATGGCTTCTTTAAAGAATGGCTTTTAGTTACATGTGTTGACATGAAACTCTGCAATATGACTTAAATTCAGTTTTAACAATTATTTTCATATAGCTAAGAGATTTATAAAATAGATTTGCTGTTCAAATTAGGTTGGGTGACATTCATTTCAGTTTCATTTTGTGTCAAAAGTTGGTTTTAATCTCTCAGAACTAGCTGCCCCAGATCTCTCTGTGGTTTAGCCAATTCCTATGACTCTTATCAATGGCATGAAATGGAAGTAAATAAAACCAACCTCCTCACATCCCCAAAATGAGCGGTGACTAGTGCCCTAAATATGTCCGTTCTACAAGGCATGGCACCAACAAAATGTACCTCCAGCTGAAGATGAATGCCATAGGTCTGACTGTATCAAGCACTCAGGAAGTCTTTTTTTCTTGAATTGTAACCTTACCTGACCTTTCATTTGTGAATATAAAATACATAAAATAGAACTATAAAGAGGTTATATAAGAGGCACATGCATTCATTGTGGATAAAGTAAAGTGTATTGGGCAGATAATGTCTGGACTCGATAACAGGTATGACTAAATATTGAGAGGTACTCTGGAATAAGACTTACATTTTGTATAGATGTTAATGTGTCATTTCAGGCCCTAAGACTTCTTTACCCAAGAGCATGCCCCTCTGCTCATAATACTGTTGACTTTCTATGCATTAGTTTCTCATTTGTGGAAAGATAGGTAGTCACAAAGGAAACTGTATAAATATCCGATTATGATTTGCACTGGTAAAACACATGTCAACTTTTAATGGAAGGCTCTGATTTTAAGTTGCACATGATAAAGAACTACTGAAATCCAAATGTGAATTTGGCAACGTTACATCTTCAGACTGTTGGACCAGTTTGTTTTGAGTGAATTGATTGAAGCTATGAATTAAGAAATAAAGTAATATAACTTTGTATTGGTGGTAATCGTCTTTTTTTTTAATTTGTTTTAATTATTTGCCTACCAGTACATTTAGTGTTAAGGAAATTGAAATGCATGTTAAGTGTTAAGGTGGAAAACCAGTGTGCACACATTACAAGGTGACAAAGTGACAAAGAAAATTCTCTTTATTGACCATTTCTGATACAAATTGTTGTAGGGCACCATAGAAATATAGACATTGTACATTTATATACGGTGTACATTAAAAAGAATGATCCCATCCTAACGCATCAACAGTATGTAAATGAACAGTTGCAAGATGTCGGTATGTAAAATGATACCCATATGGTACCAAGTAGTTGATGGATGTTTGAAAAAAATAACATGAAATGACCAGTGTACTATTGATGGTGGCAATGTGTGTTAGTGCCAAACACACATTGGCCAACAGAATGGTTAAGTGAAAAGAGCGCCTAGTCTAACAAACACACAAATATTTGTCCATGAAAATTTGAACCAACATTTCAGTGCACCAGAAGAATAAAAACACACCTGCTAATCTACCACAGTCAGCGAACACAGTTGTCAAGCCGACAGGTCTCCCTGACTTGCTTCACAAATATAAACAACCTGTCTGCAAGCTCCGGTTATGAACGAGCCAAGACGTGCTGCGTGTGTGCACACACACACACAATCACAAACTTGACATCTTAAGATACCGCATTACAGTCCATTTGTAAGAAAAACAAAAATACATTTTCCAATTCATGCCAGAGGTTACATTTAAAAACAGAAACCAGTTCAATGCAATTCTATGGTTAAGCAAACTGTTGATTGAGGTATGCAATCCAGGCCTTGTATCGCCTGTATGCAGTTTTTCCGGGGTTTTTAACTGAGGTTGTAGCAGCTTAGGTAGGTGGAAAAAACCCAGGTAAGTGTACTGTGACTGCGGGTTCCCTGACACTTAGAAATACAAACATTACAACACACATCTTCAAAAAGACTAAGAAAGTGTATTACTGTACTAAGTGATGACAGAAGGACCACGCTAGGTGAAGCAGTGAGAGCTAGATGGAATGAACAACGTTATCCTGTTGGATAGCAGTGCCACCGACTATCCTCTATTACGATCAAACTCCTGGTTTTGACCGATTGCAGTTTGCCTTGAGTGATTGGGTGAGCGCTTAGTAACTGAGGACCGTGTGAAGACAAAGACGCCAACGAAAACAGCATTTGTAAAAGCTCCCTGAAGAAATGACACTGATGCCTTCTGCCTAGAACTCTGCCAACCCTATTCTTAAAAACACACATTATACCAAAAAAAGTTGTATTATATCATGAAAAGCAGCACACTCATGTTTTTTTATAAATGTATGTAACCCGAAGGAACAAAACAGTAAGTAAATCAGACCAGCGATACACTTTACATCTCCCCACTGCACGCCAAGGACCGGCGACGAAGTTTGTAAAGCATAACCCTTATCTAAAATTTCCTAAAGGACCGGTTAAGGATGATTCTGCTCTACTGGTGGGGTAGGGAGAAATCAGTTATGCAGAAATGAAAAAAAACACACTTCTACCATCTTTTACCTATTCTCATCCTAAACACTAAAGCTCAACTCCATCTATAATATGTTGCAAGGGATAGGTTAACCACTTCACACAAACAAAAAATAAAACCAGTAAGTACAGGTAAAATTCACCTTTGTCCAGTACAAAACATGAAGAAAAATCTATATGCCCTACCATCTCAGATGCGGGTACAACACATAAGTAACATTAAGCGGAGGAGAGTCTTACAAACCATCTTTAGGGGAATCCAGGCTCCTCAGAGCACACTTGTCCAGTATAAAAGACTTGTGATAACATGACGTGTAAAGAAAAGGGCTGTTACCCTTCATGTAATTCTTAGATCTATGCTTGAGCAAGGTCCATCGTTCTATCCAGTGCTGTTGCATGATATTTGAACTGTGTTAAGCCTCCTTTTGGCAAAGGGGGGCTTTGTCGTGAACAGTGGTCATGTGGTGGCACTGGCGTTGGAGATACAGCCCAGTTCTAGTTAACAGTATGTCAGTATGTTGAGTGAGGTAGCATGCGTTGTGAATTACTGGTCGTTTTCTTCTTCTTCTTCCTCCTCCTCCTCCTCCTCCTCCTCAGATGATTCCTGGGATGCCTTTTCTTCCTTCTCCTGTGACAGAAAGGGGGAATAAAATCCAGTCAAGCCTTGACTACACCCACAGGGAAAATGTCATCAACTTTTTCCAACAATGGCTGCCTGTGATTCATGTCTCAACGTGACTGTTTCTACTTCTAATAAGCTCAAACACCAACATTACACAAAAATGTAATAATAAATGTCTTTGATAAATCACTGTGGCATGAAGAACACCCAGGGGAAGGGTGAGCCATCTGTAGTGAAGTGATTCATAAGAGCGGTGAGTCACAATGAGGCATACTTCTTTTCCTCCCCTCACTCACTACTGCCCAAGATGTTCATTCATAAAAACGAGGTCTGGTTAGAAGGGTAACGTTGGGTCATTCCTTTCTGTGACTAATTCAAACCAGACTTCTTTCTAGAGTACGCCCTAACCACTCATGCACATGACAGAATGTTACTATAAGACCGCAATTTCCCCCTAGATTTAACATGCATTTTTGACCTGCTTTGCATACTCTGATAACACGTTTGACTGTTTAACTGCCGGTTACTCAACAAGTGGATTAGGAACACCTTAAGAAAATGGCTACACAGGTTCAGAGTTGCCTTTTAACACAGCTTTATGCATCTGAAGAAACTTCTCTAAATGAATGCACAGTGCATGACATGAATAGCTGTGATGAGTAAAAAATGACTAATTCGAGAGGAAGGAGGCAGGCAGGGGAATTAGGAAAATGCAATTGCGCCCTGCAGACAGTCATACCAATCATAATTCAATTTGGGGAGGAATGGTTTAAACACATGTGAGTACTGTTACACGGTTTATCAAGGGACTCTTACCTCCTTCTTAGGTCTTCCCCTGCGTTTTGCCCCTGCAGCTGGGGCAGCTACGGCAGCCGCTGCGGCAGCCGCTGCCTTCTGTGAGCGAGGGAAAACAGAACAAGGTTAGCAGAGCTATGGGCGGGGCGATGCATTTAGTTATTTTCTGGCTCAGAGACCTGCTGCCCTGCTCAGTAAAAGACAAGACTTTCTGGGGGAAACAAAACGGGTATAAACAATACAAATCTCCACAAAGCTCCACTTCTAGCTGCCTGCAGATGGCAGTATTAACTGTGTAATGATACAGATGGAAAGGGGCATTGGGTTCATTGGCTATTATCTGGAAGGCCGACAGGAACTGCACACAGGGCACTCCAGTTCGCTGGCCACCTGGTCTGAGGCTCAGAGACAGCTGGTGGGACTGAGCGGACACAAACCCTCTGCAGCTTGGCCCTCGCTGCTAAACCTTCATCATACATGTATGTGCATTCTACTCTTCCTCCCTTTCCCATACATAGCAGTGAAGACCGAGCGCACGGGGGAGCTGGAGGGTAGGGGCGAGGGAGAAAATCAGTTGTTGCTATGGAGACGACAGGCAGAGAAGAACTAGGGCTGTGTGCTGGGTGGGGGCGGAGGGGTGCTTAGTGTCAGCTTGGAAACAGTCTTGCGGCCTCTGCACCTGCACCGCACTGTGCATGACAAGCTGCAGGAAGCTGGAGGACAGGAAGTACAGCGAGCATCTCTCAACAAAAAGAAAATGTAAGGCAGTAAACCAAGGTCTTTACAATGGGAACCCAACGCCAGGCTATTTCTGACACCAGGAGGGGGGGGGGGGCAGCTAAATTGCAGCCAACAAATATATCACAAGTAACAGCAGGATGTCCTTGTAAGAGGATGGGGTTAGCTACCGTTAAGCGTTCAACCAAATTCGGGGATTAGAAAAGGAAATGATTGCAAGAGAAGTGGGTGAACACCATGTTCCGCTCCGTCGTGAATCTGTGCCTGTCTTCTTTTAAATGAATGTGTACCAGGCGGTTGGTGCATGCAAGCTGTTGCTGAAATCAGGACTTGTTGCCTGCAGAGAGCATTGACTTACTTTGGCCTTGATGACAGTCTTGTTTGTGCTGCCCTTGGGCCGTCCTCTGGACCTCTTTGGAGCAGGAGACCCACTTGCTTCCTGAAAAAGCAAAAGTCAAAAGATGGTTCGCACAATATATAACATTTTACACTTTGTATATAAAGATGGAGCGGCATGTATTTGGCAAATTATACAGGAATGAATAATGTTCTACATGCGAGACTCAAATATACAGTGTTCCCCTTTCAGGGTCAATGTGACCGGAAACAACTTTAAGACAGACAGGTGCTCAGAGCCACAGGTTGCCATGGCCTCGCTTAAAAACTCTTTATGGAATGTTCAAAATGACGCATATGTTTTAAAATAGTTCTGACAAAACATCTAATAAGAGGCTTGAATGAAAGCAGCGGCACTGTGGTAGGAGAAATAATTTACATTGAAGGGGCTCGAGTACCATCAACTCCAAAGTGCAAGGTGAATTCAGTATCTTGTTCTCGTGATAATTTGTGGTTGTAAGCCATGTCGTTACGGTCCCATCTCCTGTTGCATTACGAGTGTGTTTACAACCATGGCTCATAGCAACCAAGCAATTCAATACTAAAACACACAGCGCTGAGTGACAGCTATACGAGCCATTCTGTGCTTCCACCCAGCTATGTCATCCATTACATGACTAGCATGGGTGGGTCATGAGGGGGGGTCAATACTGGTTTGAAGGTGTAGAGTTACAGGTTGCTTACAAACCGGTGAGACACACAGGAAGTTTGTAGACTTCTACACTTACATCAATAAGGGGTGAGCGAATGGTCATAGTGGCTTGCTGCAGCCATATCTTGATTGACCTAAAGGCTCAGTAGAATAGCAGGGGCGTATGTTATTGATATGCATGAGCACCTTATCTACAGTAATATCTACCTGGGCATCAACAGATGTGTTCTAAGCGCTTGTTTTGTTTCTGTACTTCTTTTTCTTAATGCAAATGCGCTTTGTTGTGTTTTAGGATGGTGATATGATTGAATACAACCCGGATATGATCACATGATAATCGGATAAACATAAATAAGTGTCACTACTCACGTCAGTGGTCTTTTCCTTGGGCTGCTTGCGGGGTCTTCCACGCCCCCTCTTCTCTGTTGCCTCCTCTTTCGGTGAGACTGTCCCCTTGTCGCTCATGTTTTCTTATCTTTTCGGACCTAGGAAATAAACCACACCGCTCAGGCTTGCTGTAAAACAAGGCATCAAGTTCACACATGCATATGCAACACAGTAAATACAGGGGCTACGAAACTCACCGACCGCAACAACAAACCAACAAAAAAAACCTGCAGACCACACACCGGTAACGCGTTTAACTCAATTAATCCGCGCTTATTTCCAGGTCTATTTCGGGATCATCCGTGCTCAATTACCCACCCGACTGTGCCTTACAAACACATTTTTAACTATAAACATCAAGCATTGTATTGCTGGGATTATAGGCGGTCGGTAGCGGCATAAATCTGAAAAAGTCCCATGAACCCAACGCTCCGTCCTCGTACAGACCATGTTCGGCGGCCCTGTGCTGTACTTAGTTGTTGTGGCCAATAATCGGGCCTGCACATGGGACTATCTCACAGCATGTATCGTGCCATGGAGATACTACCCGACACACAATGGCTGCTGTGTCCTCTGTGGTGTTTGCCGGTTCAACAGAGCCTGCATGGACCCTTTAAAAAACCGCACACGAAATGCAGGGTGAGTTGGGTTCGCTTGCGGAGGCGATATCCCGGATACAGCAACAAAAGACGGCTTCACATTTCGAGCATGCCGTCTCTCCTCGCCGGAGCTCCTGCTTTTTAAAATGCATAAATATATGGTTCTGTTTGATCAAACATGCAAAGTTTCAACGTCGCGTTTCCTGCACTCACCTTTATCGTTGGCTATAGTCTCTTACTGAATTTAACCCAAATGTTTCCTTTAAGCCTGGCTGGTTGTACCCGGTTAAAAAGCCTTGCACAGATCTATAGGCTACAGCTTGTATTCGTCAGACAGCACACAGCCCGCCCCTTTCAAATCCCAGCATGCAGCGTTGACTAAAACCCCAGCTATGAATGAGAAAGGAACAGGATTTAGACAAGAAATAAGACTTTAAATTCTTACCAGCCGGTTGAGAAGTTTGTTCCTTCGACTTACTAAAAATAGCACGTGTGTCTTGTCTCCTGCAGATAAGGGAAAAAGGCGCCAGCCAGGAGGAGTTTTGAAGCCATTTAAAGAGCCGCCCTCATGGGAAGGCGGAGACAATAAATGGGCCACCAACAGTAATAGACGAGCCCGCGCCCCCCCTTTATCCCTCTTATTCACCTGGGTTCATATCAAAACACCAAAAAGCATGTGTAAAAGTTGCCGAAAAAAGTATCAATGTAAGAAATGTAAATAAACTGTATCATATATCGTATGCATGTGGTCAATAGTAACCTACATACCAGTCTTAACAATGATGGTGACTGAACTATGACCTCCCCCAATGCAAACACAAACCGGCTTAAGAACAGAGGCATAATTTCACGTTAGTTCCACCTAGCATTATCCTCTACAGAAAGACAGATCCTTAATGTGAGTAAAAGTACAGCAAAACCTCAACATAAGTCTGTCAACAATTTATTTATTTGTAAAATGTAAATCAAAGTATCAAAAGTGAGTTTACTGAATGCAGAAAAAATGGGCCATGGGTTTGTTACACTAAATTACATTATTTGATTTAATTGTGTAGTGATCACGGTGAACCTGCTTAATATTCTATCAGGTAATAATGTAATCTGTTAAGCACCATGTGATGAAAAGAACAGGTGTTTTTGATGTTTTACCTTAATTTGTTAAGTAACAGGTAGCCACAACTATCAAATAAACAGCACAATATTCCTCTCTAAAATGTAGTGAAGGTTAAAATATAATGATCTCTGAGCAGGACGGCTGCAGAAGCAGGGTACATACTCTCCGTTTCCCTCTGTCTTCATATTCATCATGTTATGTTCATGATTTGATCCCATTTCTGTGTTTTGATACTGATTTGTGGCCCATTTTTGTTCTTAACTTTTTTTGCATGCCTATCTTGCCCTTTACTGTCATTAAAAACAGGCAAATAAACTAGTAATAAAAAGGATAACTCAAACAGTAATCAGCCACACCTTACGCAATGAAATGTAAAGAAAAAAAGGATAATTTTAGAATCCCGAGGTCATTCTGCTTTTCTTTGCTAGATGTTATATCCAATTGGCTGCACATTTCTTTCATTATTTCTGATGCCTCTGAAAAACAAGCAGTAACATTTCATTTGTTTCACTTTTTAATGACTTGGTTAGACCATACATGTACTTTGCTAAAACACAACTCTTATTACTTTACAGGCAGTATAAATAAAACAAATCAAAAATAAATGGCAAACAGTATGCCTTCAACTTAGTTACCCCACACTAGATGTGACTAAAAAAAATATTTTCTGGGTATAGAAAAAGCCAATAACTACAATAAATTGACAACTTACCTTATTCATTCATACATGTGAACCTTTCATGTTGTTCCCAGTCTGTGTTGATGTGGCCATTTTGCATTTGAAAGGGATACACTTTGGATATTGCATGGGTGTGGTGGATAAAGAGGAGACGGTAACATTTTATAGAGACACTCCAAACTGTGCTCTTATCTAACCAACTACTGATACTTTCACACAAGGGTGTCTGATGCAAATGAACTGCCCATCTGGATTTGATGTCTCCTCTACTATGCAATTGAAAGCAGATACTGAGAATAACCTTAAAGTGGTAGAGAATTTGCCTTTATTTGTGAGTATTTCATCTGTGGTCTCAGGACTTATAAAAAAAAGAAAAAGAATGCAACAAAAACTTTTAATTATTATGTCAGACACAAACTTTTGTCCTCAGACTGATATCAATATACTGTATGTTGATGAGAAGAAGACAGGGAGTTTTTGCTGAAAAGGGGATTGGATAGGGAATGAATGGAGCGAGCGTTTTTCTCAATGAGTCCAATGTTCTGCTCAGCATGTGCTTGCCTTGCATGCCACCCCCTTCCCTCCTCATTTCTCACTCTATTCACTTCCTTCCTCTCTATCTTCCACAACTACTTCAGCCCCATCCCCCACACCCTCACACATCTCTGCCATACCCAGCCCCCTCACTGTGGATGGAGACAGGGAAATAGGTCCAGTGTGTGTGTGTGTGTGTGTGTGTGTGTGCGTGTGTGTGTGTGTGTGTGTGTGTGTGTGTGTGTGTGTGTGTGTGTGTGTGTGTGTGTGTGTGTGTGTGTGTGTGTGTGTGTGTGTGTGTGTGTGTGTGTGTGCGTGCGTGCGTGCGTGCGTGCGTGCGTGCGTGCGTGCGTGCGTGCGTGCGTGCGTGCGCATGTGCGTGTGTGTTGGTGTGAGGAATGTTGTCCTTTTCAACCGCTGGCACCACCTGGAGACCAATGCGGGGACTGGATGAATATTGGACTGGATTGGAGATGATGCATAACAAATGTTGGCATTTCAAAATGTAGTTGTGAAGAAAAACAAATGCTTAGCAAAGTTCCAAAATCAAAACACACTTGAACATGAGAACAGAGCAGAATTGTGTTTTATCCTATATCAAGAGGATGGTCTTTAAACCAGAGAGTGTAATTTTTGCAAATTCTTGTTTTCTAATGCCCTCCTGCAGCAGCTCTATTTATTGTGTGTATTTTTTTTTCATTCTGATTATCCTCAAGAAGCAAACGCTGCAAATAACTGTGTATTATCACTGTGGAGATAAAGGACATGTCAGCAATTTGAATACAATACGCTGTTGTCTGTCACTCTCAAGGACAGAATGAAGGAATTCAGCGTCCTAGATAATGGTCCTCCTGTCTAATATGTGTTATCAGGTCACGACTTTGGTAACATTAAAATTGAATTTTCATGAAATACCGTTTTGATCAATTCCTCACTGCAGTAACTTTGGCTCTTGGATTGTGAGGAATCTGATTTTTTACAACAGGATAATCAAATAGATTTACTATTCACCGAATAGTAGTGCATTTGAACTGTGGTTACATTAAATCAACCTATTATCACAGATCCGGGTGACCAGATTTGAACCTGTGGCTGAAGAAAACCACAAAACACACCGGGCAGTCAGTTTGAATTTAAATGCTAATCAATTCCAAGAGACAAAGACTTCCACATCAGACGGCCTCTTCAGAGCCGTCTCCTGGCTCGTGAACTCTGCAGCGGCTCAGGGCAGACAGAATCCTAATAACCATCAGGGGGGTCTTGGCCCACGTTGGCATGCTCACCCCTCCCCCCATCTTCCTGACCTTTTTTTTTCCTCCCCTGCTATATGTTCATCCGTCTTCACATCCACCACGCTCTGGAGCTCATTCTAGCAATCCATTTTTAGGTGCTGTGTAAACCACATGAGTGTGCAGCCAAACCAACTAACAGATGTGGACAAAACATCTTATTCCTTCCTGAGCCTGGGTTTCCCCCTGCATGTGCTGCTGTTGGCCCTGGATGAGCCTGAACATGACTAACACACACACACACACACACACACACACACACACACACACACACACACACACACACACACACACACACACACACACACACACACACACACACACACACACACACACACACAATACACTATACACATCCTCCCTCTAAAGTAGGAGGGGATGAAGAGAAAAAAAGGAGCAAGAGAGGGAGAGAGAAAATCTGTCGGGAGGGAAGAGGAAAAGTGTGGGAGCAGTTGTAAGGCAAGGTGGGCGGAGATGGGAATATGTGTGTGGGTGTCTTATACTTCAGCGAGGGGGCGGATGGAGGTTAGAGGGCGGGGGATGGGGCCTGGCTGATGAGTAGTAGGCCTATCTGACTCACACAAACACAGGAAGTAGCGCGTGCTGCTTGTTTAGTGAACATAGCACTGTATTTATATGATACTCCTATAGGAGGGGGATAATAGGAGCTCTCACACTACCTAATTTCACCTCCGTCTGCCCGTCTGTCGGTCGCTGAGTCAACGCACTCTCTCTTTCAAATACTTTCATATCCACATCCGGAGATATTTGGACTGAGATCCAGCGGTGCATCAGTCATACTGTGACTCAAGCTTGTGAAATTTGTACGGGTTAAAACAGTCCCATATTTGAACCTTTCTTGGGGAACAGCAGCCTTAACATGCCAACCTTTTTTTAATGTATTTATTATTGTTTGCGGTTCTATCACAATCAAAGTCTCTGAGTTTTTTTGAAATACATACTTTTGTTATTCTCTTACTTTTCTCTTTTAATTCAGTTATATCATTACATCCAGTCTAATCAATCAATGTATATTATTGGGAAGAATCATGCACACCGTGTTGCTTTTGCAATATATCGAAATAACACATCACTCCTTTGTTTAGCATTAATGCCATACAATCTATTAATCCCTGAAGGCCAACTCTCTTTGCTTGGTGCCTCTAAAGGTGGTCAGAGGTCAGGGTCAGCGTCAGTGCACCATCTCTCAAGCTGACAGCAAATGTGTGACCACAATTTTGTATTACTACAACAGCTTTTTAAACATAAAACGTAAAGATATTACAATCACTATTTATTTTTTGCAGTCTTCATGCCCTAAAGATTAACTATTAAGGTTTGTAGTAAGTATCTGTAATCCTGGTTAATACAGGGCAGTCTGCTGTCTTTACCAATAGGTGGCAGACAGAGATTACATTTGCTAAATAACACTGAAGCCAACACCATTTCAGAGTAATACCACCATCTTGTGGCGATACTTGATCATGAACAGTAGCCTACTTGCATGTTGAGTGGGAAACACTCAACATGCCCCAATGTTACCCCTTTCCCTTTAAAACGTTTCTTACTGCGTATTTATATGTTTTAGAAGAAGAGGAATTAGCACCTCCTCTCCTCCTTTCACCTCTGTACTGATTTTCTCTGGAGACATACATATCCTGTAAAATATTGTTGTGACAATGTTTATATCCCTCCACATGGTT